TGTTAATTGAGGATTTATCTCTTATGGTTTCAGTCGGTTTGTGGGATTGGGTAGTGCATGGTGTGAGAGTACAAGTATGCTAGTTAACTAGGATAACTCTTTGTTATACATGTGTAGTTTAGAACACTTGATGTCTTGGTATGCTAGACTATTAGGGTCTTGCTTGTTGATCATATGCTACTTTTAGGAGTTATGTTAGTTATTAGGATTATGCATGGTTAACCAGCGAAAGACTTAACTGAGAAGTGGCCAATGGCAGGGTAACTAGGGAAGGCTAGTTACAAAAGGTATGTGATATGTTTGTATATGTATTATATGTTTATGTTACATGATTATGTGGGAATGTTGGTATTGGTTCTATGTAGTCTAAGTTGGATAGCTTGAGAACTCTTGGTTTAATGTGTTATTGCGATGTTCTTGTCTGATTGGTCGTTCTCGGGTGGATCATTTGTTTGACTGTCTATTTAATCTCTGACTTCATATGACTTCATGTATTGTGTGTAAAACTAGGATTTGGCCCCTCACACTTATAGAAGCGTTATAAGATTACGATTTTGTATGTAGCATTCACTTTGGATAAAATAGGCACGTTGGCTGAAACATGCCAGAAGTGATTATCAGGCTGTAGAGGACTACAACATTCACATGATAGGTTTGGGAACGCATGGTTGTTATGTATTTCATATGCATGTTGATAGGAGATTTGGCAGGTCGGCTCTAGAGCCGAGAACTTTGTGTGTGTGTGTGTGTGTGTGTGTGTGTGTGTGTATATATATATATATATATATATATATATATATATGGGAAAAGTGAATATACCCTTAAGGGTATATAAGCTTAGGTACCCAAACTCACTATACTACGTCGTTTTGTATCATATATATGCATTGTAATTGTCCAATGTTCTTATAATTCAACTTCTAACTTGATTCACTTCGAAGATTTTTATAAATTTCACATTTATAGTCCTCTTACATAATTTTCATTTTCAACTATAATATATATAGCCTAGTAGTGTTCGATAAAAATATGTGATGTAAGAGGAAGATAGTAGTGAAATTTTGGAAATGTTGAAAGTAAATTCAGTTAGTGGTTGAAGTTTAAGAACATTATAATGAATATATCAAACAAAATGACGTATTATGGTGGATTAGGGTACCTAAGCTTATATACCCTTAAGGGTATATTCACTTTTCCCTATATATATATATATATATATATATATATATATATATATATATATATATATATATATATATATATATATATATATATATATATATAATGGAATATGTGGTATATTGGGGAACTCACAAACCTTTATGCTTACATTTTAGATAAAATGTTTATAGGTTATTCTTGAAAAGAGCTTGGCGGGACTATACACACGCATCGAACATATTCGTTTCGACGGTTTGGTAATTTAACTCTGATAATATATGGTTTTAACAAACGAATTTTACTTAATGAATTCTAAGATAAAGATTTTAATTGGTTAATTTATTTTGAAAATGAAAATTTCCTTTGTAATTTTTCAGGACGTTACAGTATTGCGGGTATTTTTTTTCTCGATTTAAATAATCATTAATTCATTATTAGCTTTCTCATTTATGCTTTCTTGATTTCCTTTTTTTCATTTTCTTTTCTACAACGACCTCAAATTTGAATGGTATGCATAATATCAATACTTTTATGCTTCCTTGATATCCACAGTATGATGGAGCAACCATTCTAACATATGGCAGATATGATCATAGGGCGAAACCTAGATAGCATGTTTATTTTCTGTAAGACCTTACTTCACTACATCATATTTACATTTTCTTGATATTAAATTTTAAACGGAGACTTTTAATCTTTTGTCTATAGTTATATGCTTTTTATCGGGACAAATGTTGTGATTTTTTGGTTTGCATATGATGATTGGGACTGGTAGGATACTGCTTTATATAATTATTATAGACAACATTGTACTTTTCCGTTATTTCTTATTAAGCAATGTACTTTGAAAGACCACCAAATTATATCATTGTACTTCCCGTCTTTTTCTTATAGAATATTAGACTTCGAAAACTCTTTCTAAAAAAATATTAGACTTTGAAAATTCAACTCACTTATTGTTAAGTACACTATTGTAATAAGAATAAATTAAAATAAAATGTTTTAATAAAACTGTGTCATACAATGTTGTAATATGAAAGAGTGAAAGTAGGCTGATATAACAAACATTTAATAATTGAAAGTATATTGCTATTTGGAAATAGATCTAGATTACATGCCTAATTTTTGGTGTTTGATTTCGATCCAGGTCTAATTTTCATTTTCATATATAATTTTCTTCTTAGATCTATAGTCACCATCACAACAGAATGTATTATGTGTGATTATTATTTATTCATATATTTAATGTTTGTTGATATTTTTTTGGTTTGCTTAATAGAATGTTATCTTTAGTTAAAGATAAAATAGATTGTTATTTCCTATGATTTTCGCAATTTATGTATCATTAAGAAAAATCTTGAACCCATGCAAAACATGGGCACATGGGCCCTTTTCTAATTTATATTAATGTTATATGTATAATTTGTCGACGTGCCAAACAATTTTGTGGTCACTATATTTATATAATTTTTTTAGTGTACGTTGTTTGTTAGCTTTTCGCAATTATTAAAATACATAATTATGGGCGAAGTGGATTGGTTGAACTTGTAGCAAGTAGGATAAAGACATGCATGGTTAGAGTGTCTAATTCAATATTCAATAATAATAATAACAACTACTGATAATCATGTCCACCCTCATGTAATTCTGTTTCGTTTAAATACTTTATTATTCTAAAAGAAATTGATCCAAATTTTAATGTTAGAATTCAACACTTGGTAATTATAATCGTATGACTAAATCGAAGATATTAATTTCAATTCAGATTGGTATTTTTTTAACGACTGGATGAATTATTTTAATAAAAACTAACAAAATGTTTAAATAAACAAATAAAAAATTATACAAAACATTCTCCTACGAAATTACTTTATAAAGAGACAAAAACAGGCATTCTTATATCCTATTTAAGTATTACACTTTTATCCACGTGCCATGTTTTTTTTTTTTTACAATTTTTTGCATTTTATGAATTATGATGATATATTGGTTTGATTGTGATTTCTCACCAAATCCTTTCAACCAAAGCATTCAATATATCTCTAATTGAAGAAAAAAAAGTACTATTTTTCATATTTGAAACATGAGCAACGTTTATCATAATTTTTCTTTATAAAAGATATTCAAATTTTATTTTATTTTAACAGTACAATGTTTGAGTTTGTATACAATCTAATGGCTTATTTGATGATCTACAGAATTTCTAGAATACCTTTTAATAGTTTTAAAAAACTAGCAAAATTAAAGGTTACAAATAAAAAGTTTATAAATCAGGAATAACATCAAATAAAAACTTAAGTAGTTAATTGTATATATTTTTTGTACACCAACTCTTTGAGAAAAATATCTCAAAGTTCGTTGGGATAAATTTCTTAAGATTTGTTAAGCTAGCTAATTTACACACAGAAATTCATTTACGACCCTTCCATTTACAACTTATTCACAAAAAAGTTTTCACTTACACCGTTTTTATGTATGTACCATTATTTGATTAAGGTACAGAGAATGGATTGTAATTCTTGAAAGAAAAAATTAAATAAGAATAAAATAAATTGAAATTATTAATTACTTTCTACTGAGTTATAAATGTTAAAATAATAATAAAAATAAAAAATAAAAAATAAGGTCAAAGGCAAAATTAGAAAACAAGTGTTTAGGGTAATCATTACTGAAATTATCGGTCATAGTCACGTGCATATCTAATAATCCTATATGAATCTTTGAAATCTATATGAAGTTAAAGCTATGTTTGATACATCAACTAAAAGGTTATCCGCTGTTGTCTTCTCTTCTTGAGGTTGTGGTTCAAATCTCACTGTAAACAAATGTAAAATAATTTAGGAGTAGTTTAGCATATATTTGTATTTGTGGTTAAAAAAAAGTTATCATATTGCATGAAAAGCTATCTTAGTTGATAAAAAATATATAATTTGATAAAACTAGCTTGAGAAATATAAAATAACATTAAAAAAATGACAGGTAAGATTATACTTTATTTTTAAACTAAATTAACCAAAAACGAATCATAAAATTTGAGCCCTATATATTCGGAATTAGAAAACAACTTTTATTCCAAGATTTTGTTATGATTTATGCTTAGAAATTATTTCAAAAAGAATGAGGTAAATCGGTAGAAAAACGAGCTAAATATCGAAGGCAGGCAAAATTGGGCCATTGTTGCCTACTGGACCCGGGCTTGGTATGCTGGGAGTTTTGGGCTGAAATACATTTAGAATTTCTGTTTTTGGTACGAGATTTATAATTTTATATTATTTATCTTTAAAACAACATTTTTTTTTTGATATTTTAATGGGTATTTTTAACATTATTTTAGTTATTAAATTTACGAAATTACGAAATTAAGATCGTGATCTATCAGCCATCATTTTATCCCAAGCAAGCAACATGATTATTTTATGTACGAATAGAATCATATATAGTTGGGTTCCTAGGAAGCAGCTATGTAATTTTACTTTAACCTTTTCAAATATTTTTCTATTAAAATTACAATATCATGACTAATGTTTTAGTAATTACAACTATTACAACTTTTTTTTTTTTTTTTTTTTGCATTTAAACTAGATAAACAAATCCTCAAGTTAATGTCTTACGTATTCCTGTCTATTAACATAAAATCTCACGTACCTTATTTAATAAAATTTAATCCCAACCTTTTACAAGAGTATTAATATCAAACAACCCATACCAATTGGGCTTAGAGTTATAAGGCTCAGTAATTTGAAGTCATTAAACATTGGGACAGAATGGGCCATACCTAAGTGATTGGGCCGGGTTTATTTATACGGGTCGAGTTGTAGAAGCCGCGATACAACTAGATTCTCCACCAGCAATGGAAGATCGCCTTTGACGTCACAAGGGAAGACAATAAATTCACTCTAATCGACATACATAGTAGAAGTAGAGCTTAATCACACATCAACAAGATTAAGTGACAAAAAGACATCAAATTCATCGTTTTTTAGAGCAGCAATTTGTGAAAAGAGATCGAGTTTTCGATTGAGGATTGCAAATTTGACAAAAGGAGAAAAAAGATGAGGGCGTTGGTAGATTCACTTGGGCTTTTGTTCATGATTTCGATGTTCAGTGCTTGTAACGGGCTATCTATTCCTCGAATCATTGAACGCATGCACATCAGCAGTAGTGGTAGTAGCAACAGCAGTTATTTGACCAAGGATGAGTTCTGGTTCAATCAGACGCTCGATCATTTTTCCCCTTACGTATGCATTCTCTCCCCCTTTAATCTTTATGTCACTTACCATTAATTTTATGAAGATCTGACATCTAATGTTGTGAAATTGTTCATGAATTCCCAATCGGTATGTATGATGAGTCATTGTGTTTTGGCATTTACAGGATCATCGTAAGTTTGGGCAGCGATATTACGAGTACTTGAACGAATTCAAGCTTCCCCATGGTCCAATCTTCTTAAAAATATGTGGTGAAGCTGCATGTAACGGGATATCGAATGACTATATGAGCGTACATTACCAAAATCTTCATACATGATCATATATCAATAGCCTTTATTCATGAATTTTATGTTTATATGTAAAAGCAATTGTCCCTGATGTATCATAATCCTCTAATTCCATACAGATTTTGGCAAAGAAGTTTGGAGCTGCTTTAGTTACACTTGAGCATCGATACTACGGAAAGAGCTCTCCATTCAAATCCCTAACAACCAAAAACCTAAAATTCCTTTCATCTAAGCAGGCACTATTTGACTTAGCTGCTTTCCGTCAATTCTATCAGGTTTATACATGAATTTATTTGGAATAATTCAAATGTTGTTACTTTTAGTTTCATAACATATTACTCTCCATGATCTTGTAGGAATCATTAAACTCAAAACTCAACAGAACAAATATTGAGAATCCATGGTTTGTTTTTGGCGTTTCTTATGCTGGAGCTCTTAGTGCATGGTTTCGTTTGAAGTTCCCTCATCTCACATGTGGGAGTCTTGCAAGTTCTGCTGTAGTTAATGCTGTTTACAATTTCACTGAATTCGATCAACAGGTGATGAAAATTTTAAATAAATAAATAAATAACATTTATCTTTATTTTAAGGGACGTTTTTGTTCTGTTATGACAGGTTGGTGAGTCAGCAGGACCTGAATGTAAAGCTGTATTACAAGAAGTTACTCAACTTGTTGAACAAAAACTTGCATCAAATAGTAACGCATTGAAGACCACATTTGGTGCTACTCAGGTAATATATATATATATATATATATATATATATATATATATATATATATATATATATATATATATATAATATATATATATATATATATATATATATATATATGAAGTGATTGACTATTAACTATTGACTATTTGACTTTATGAACCTGTCATGTTTGACTACTATAATACCTTTTTTTCAGCTAAAAATAGATGGTGACTTCTTGTATTTTCTAGCGGATGCTGCAGCCATAGCTGTAAGTTTTCTCACATATATCTTTATATAAACTTTTTCCATAGTTGACATAAATCATGAATTCATGATACATATCATATATGAATCTTTGCAGTTTCAATATGGGAATCCAGATAAACTTTGCACACCAATGACTAAAGCTAAAAAGGCAGGAGAAGATCTAGTGGTAATTCCAATGTCAATTTCCTAGTTTCTTGTTCTTGAATTCTTTTTCTTAATACAATCTTGAAATTAAAAAAAGTAACAACCTTTATGCAGAATGCATATGCAAAATACGTGAAGGAATATTATGTAGGAAGTTTTGGAGCTGAAGTTGAATCATATAACCAAGAAAATCTTAAAAAGACAAACCCAAGTGTGTATGAATCTGGTGATAGGTTATGGTGGTTTCAAGTTTGTAGTGAAGTTGCATATTTCCAGGTGGCACCTTCAAACGATAGCATTCGCTCTTCAAAGATTGACATAAGGCATGTACATATCAACATTATGACACATTTTAATCATTAAAATAAAATCCAAGCTTCATAATTCTGTTATTTTAATTAACAGGTATCATTTGGATCTATGCAAAAATGTATTTGGAGAAGGTGTGTATCCGGTTGTTGATGCAACAAATCTTTACTATGGGGGCAAAAACATTGCTGGTATGAAGTATGAACATTACTATTTACATGTAAATTTCAGGGTTAATTTATTTTTGGTGAATTTTCTTGAAATATGTAGGATCAAAAATAGTTTTTACAAATGGGTCACAAGATCCATGGAGACGAGCATCAAAGCAAGTGTCATCTGAAAGCAGTAAGTCTCCAACCCTGATATTTTATTTTTTTTCTTTCTATCACTTAATTTGTGTTTTTTTTAATAATTTTATTTGTAGTGCCATCATATATAATTAGTTGTCATAACTGTGGTCATGGAAGTGATTTAAGAGGTTGCCCACAGTCTCCTTCCCCTCCTGAAGGTTTGTAAATTGTATATATTTTTCATGTGTGTGTAATATTAATTATTATATAACAATTTGTGACTGAATAATGAAATTATAATTTTCAGGAAGCTCAAAGGGGTGTAGTTCATCGGATGTGGTTGACAAAGTAAGACATGAGATTGTAGAACATATAGACTTATGGTTGGCTGAGTGTCATGATTTTAGTAAGTGTTCAAGTCAATAAGTCTTCAGAAAAATAGTATAAAATATAAAACGTGTGAATTGCTGCTTCATTCATGATCTTAATTATCTGTTTTTAGTGAGATTGAGAGATGATGATGCAAATAAGTTATCAAAACCTTTGTTGCATGTAAATTGCAAACATTTTTGTTCTTGGAGTAAGTTGTTAGCTAGTAAAATGAATGTCATGTTTTATGATCACGTGTTTGGTTATCATAAAAACATATGAGAGTAGAATGTGATAACTTGAGATTCCCACTTTGGTTTTAATGATAACAAACATCGAATCAAGATCATATCGTTATTTAACAATTTATTTGTTTGTGTGAAAGATACTATTGTGCAAGTATTATACATCTAAGTGATCAAAACAATTTAAGCTTAAACACATATAATGTGTTTATGCCTCGATGAAGGGCATCAACAAATACTTTCAACGAAGTTCTTTTTTTATGTTTGGCCAATGAAAGAAAGATCTTAAAGAGATTTTCCTATGTATATTAATCGTTGTAAGAGATTAGATTACTCAAATTTTAATAATCATACATGTTTTGTTTTGTAATTTGTATGTAGCTTTAATAACTAAAAAAAGGTGTTACGGATGGATGTAGAACGTATGAATATTCATGTACTACCCGTTGTTGCTTCACAGAGAGGGATAGGGGAGGCTAGGTTAGGCCGTAAGATGGTTATCGGCTCACATATACTTTCATTCATGAAATTAGAATTTAAATGTTGCTATATCTACGAAACAATTTAAAAAACGGTTCCGTAGTTCATTAATCCACCCAAACAAATAACTAACTTAGACATTAAGTTATAGAAGTTAGCAAATCACAATTGTATTGCATTTCAAGTGAATAGGGGTAAAAAAAAGTTCGAGTTGCTAGTGAACAGGGGTAAAAAAAAAACTTGAGTTGCCAAGTGATAAAAAAACATGACATTATAATTGTCAAATATCAATTAATAAAGACATTGCTCTTTGCATTTCTAGTTTTGCGCGGACCATACAAAAACAAAACATGATTCTTGTCATACATTGTGCAAAAAAACCCACTCGTGTTGGCATGAATTGCAACCTGTATTCTTTTGTGAATATTGCTTTTTGTACTTGTAGCTTTGCGAATGGGGTGTCTAAGAAAAATAGTTAACCCTAATGATTGTTGTTGGGGGTGTTATGCTCAAGCAACAATAGACATTAAAACATGTATAATTCATTGAACTCTATAGAGTTTTAATAAATTGATGGATAATCATTCTAATTTTCGTATAACTCTATCCTTTTTTCTATAACACATTGAAGTCTACAAATTGCAATGAAACAGTAAAAAATCATTAATTACAAAACTAATTTATGAATTTTCTTTACGAATTAAAATTTTTTATTTTTCTTACCGAAAAGTTTAATGACTTTTGAACTTCACATTGAACTTCAAGATGGGCATTCCACTATGGGTGAGTTTAATCTGTTGACAACAAAATAGGCATTTCACCTCATTCAACCATTTCATTAAACCAAGGTTTTAAATAACGTAAGGCGTGACTTGTTGGCAATGTCAAGACTCAAGCTTTTCCGAGCCTTGGCGAGTTATGACGTTTGTAAGGTGTGACTTAAAGCGGCAAATTTCTATATAATTAATATTTTTATATGTATTTTCAACTATTATTCATTTTTATACACGTATATGAGTTAAGACGGCGTTTTGACAAAGTTTGGCGGCAGGTGCAAGCCTTGGAGTTGTGGCGCATCATGGCGAGCTTTTTAGAACCTTGCATTAAACTATGCATTGTAGATGATGAACAACCCTCATGGTTCTTGAAAAGCAAGCAAGTAGCCTATATATACGAGCTAAACATATCATTTCTAAATATACAAGCCAACAAGTGTCATCTACAATGTTATGAATGTAATCATATATGTTAACATAGAATTCCAACAGTAAATCTTGTCATAATTAACTAGATTATAAGAAAATCAATCATAAGAGTAATCAGGACAATTCGTCCAAAATTGTTGTCGAAAGCTCATGTCTATGCTTCTAGATTAAAGGTGGCAAAAATTGACACGACACGAAACCCGACACGTAATAAACGGGTTTGGGTAAGATATTTTAACCCGTTTAAATAAATGGGTTGACACGACACGACACGAAAATTAAACGGGTAAGGTTAGGGTTGAGAATTTCAACTCGAAAATGACCCGTTTATTTATATGCAAGTTTTTTGAATTATTTAAATAAACTAGAAAGATACAAAACCAAAACCATAAGTAAAAGAAAACCTTCAAATTGAGTCGTTTTGTAATGTTGAAATGACTTAGCCGTCTAGATCAAGACTTAATTTCAGTTTTTCCATTCTCTCCCAAACTACCTAGTCTCTTTCACCACTCTCACATCCTCGCCACTTTTTCATCCGCCTCCCCAACTCCCACTCTTTTAATTTTGTCATCTAAACTTGCTATGACTTCATCTATTATGCCTCCAAACTATTAGTTTTTCCTTTCCGCCTACCCAACTCCTACTCTTTTAACATGCTCAATCTTTTAACCTCACATGACACAACATATTTCAAGGTATAGCCCTAACCCGAAACCCGACACGAACTCGACACGAAAATAAACGGGTTGACACGACACGACACGTTAATTAAATGGGTCGGGTTAGGGTCAATCACTTTCAACCCGTTTAGTGTTTCGACATGACACGAACCCGACACAACACGACACGATTGCCACCTCTATTCTAGATTATTAAGGGATTATTTAGGCCCATTGCGGCTTTTTTGCAGCACATAAAATATTGGTGTGACTTTCTGAGCATCGAATTTGAGTTTGACATAAGTATCACATCATATATTTGCATCATATTCTTTTAACACCTCTAACGATATCAAACCTATTCCATATGGTTGGATGACAAAAGTTTGACAATGTGATCCGTTCAAGGATCCCCACTTGGACCAAATCTCAATAATATATTGATTTAATGATATTTTCTTATGAATAAGTGAGAATATAAATACAAAAATGAAATAAAAGTTCTAAAAAAACTCCGACAAAATACATGAAAACTTAGAATATGAAACGAGAAAGCCAAATTATGAAAGTTGTTCACAAAAAATTACAAAAACTACAACATAAAAGAGTATTTATTCAGGTGTATTGAACCCAAAACAACTTGCCCTCCCTTTAGATACAACATATATGGGAAAATGGTCAGAAAGCCAAAAATGGCCTCAAACACTACAAGAAGGGATGAGCATTTGACCTGAAAAAACAGTTCAGACGTGAAAAAAACTTGAATTGAAACCGGGGTATTCGGTTCGGTTCTCAATTCTCCATTTCCCACTAATTGGTTCTCAATTCTCGGTCCGGTTCGGACCGGATCCAAAATCGGTCCCTAAAAAGCACACTTACTTGTAGAACCGAACCGAAACCAAGGTGTTTGGTCCGGTTCTTCGGTTGCCGAGCCTAGTCCGGACCAATGATCATCCCTAGCTATAAACCCTAAAAAGACCAGTTATATTTCCACAAGTCAAGGTGTGAAAGCTTTTGATATCACTAATTTTTAACCAACAATAAATGACTGACCACAAGTTAGCAACACATAAACACATCAAATTCGTTGCTTCTCGTCACAACAATTTGTGATAGGAGATGTAAAATTTTGAATAATATGTCTTCTTGAGTTTTTCTTTAAAAAGAAAAGAAATAAAAAGTAATAAAATATGTTCTTGAACTTTATTTAAAAAAAAAACCAAATGAAAGAAAATGGAATAAAAATAGAGTTAAAATCTATTCGCCAAAAATCAAAATGTTTGGGAAGGAAACGAAAGGAAACAAATACAGCAGAGGATTCCCCTCAAGAAAATGGAAAGAAAGGAAATAGGTTCCCTTCCTGTACTCCCCTAATTTTTAAACTCTGAACTCTGAAGGATTGCAGACTTGACAAAGGAGGAAAAAAATGAGGGTGCTGTTGATTTTTGTTAAATTCCTGTTCATGATCTTGATTTTCAGTGCTTGTAATGGGTTATCTACTCGAGTCATTGAACGCATTCACAGCAGCAGCAACAACAGCAATTATTTAACCAAAGACGAGCTCTGGTTCAATCAGACGCTCGACCATTTTTCCCCTTATGTATGCGTTTTCTCCTCCTTATCATTTACCACAAATTTTATGGAAATTTTACTTCTACTGTTTCTGCTGTTGTTTATGGAAATTTAACATCGCAGAGTATGATGAGTTATTATGCTTTGGCATTTATTGGATCATCGTAAATTTGGGCAGCGGTATTATGAGTACTTGGAAGAATTTAAGCTTCCCCATGGTCCAATTTTCTTAAAAATATGTGGTGAAGAAACATGTGGTGGGATATCAAAGGATTATACGAGCGTATATTACCAAAATCTTTCATACATCATTCATATCTAGCCTCTATATATGAATTCTGTGTTCATATGTAGCAACTGTGAATACGTAACCTTTTAATTTCATACAGGTATTGGCGAAGAAGTTTGGAGCTGCTTTAGTTACACTTGAGCATCGATACTACGGAAAGAGTTCTCCATTCAAATCCCTAACAACCAAAAACCTAAAATTTCTTTCATCTAAGCAGGCTCTATTTGACTTAGCTGCTTTCCGTCAATTTTATCAGGTTTATAGATGAATTTGTTTTGAGTAATTCAAATATTGGGTTTAGTTTCATAACATTTTAGCCTCCATGATCATGTAGGAATCATTAAACTCAAAACTCAACAGAACAAAAATTGAAAATCCATGGTTTGTGTTTGGCGTTTCTTATGCTGGAGCTCTTAGTGCATGGTTTCGTTTGAAGTTCCCTCATCTCACATGTGGGAGTCTAGCAAGTTCTGCTGTAGTTAATGCTGTTTACAATTTCACTGAATTCGATCAACAGGTGATGAAATTTTTTATAATATTTCTTTATTTTAAGACTCATTTCACCATTTTTGTGATTACATACATAATGACAGGTTGGTGAGTCAGCAGGACCTGAATGTAAAGCCGTATTACAAGAAGTTACTCAACTTGTTGAACAAAAACTTGCATCTAATAGCAACGCATTGAAGACCACATTTGGTGCTACTCAGGTAATAGATTTGGAGACAGTGTTTGACTTTATGAACTGTCATGTTTGACTACTAAAATACCCTTTTTCAGCTGAAAATAGATGGTGATTTTATGTATTTTCTAGCAGAGGCTGCATCTATAGCTGTAAGTTTTTTTTTTTACACATGTATTTAATCTCTTCGCTGATGTATATTAATGTGACATGATATTTGAATCTTTATAGTTTCAATATGGGAATCCAGATAAACTTTGCACCCCAATGACTGAAGCTAAGAAGGCTGGAGAGGATCTAGTTGTAATTGACTTACAAATCTCTTTGAAAATCTTCTTCTCAAACTTTTTTTTATAATAACAAAGAAGCAATCTTTATGCAGAAAGCGTATGCAAAATACGTGAAGGAATATTATGTAGGAAGTTATGGAGCTGAAGTTGAATCATATAACCAAGAAAAACTTAAAAAGACAAACCCAAGTATGTATGAATCTGTTGATAGGTTATGGTGGTTTCAAGTTTGTAGTGAAGTTGCATATTTCCAGGTGGCACCTTCAAACGATAGCATTCGCTCTTCAAAGATTGACTTAAGGCATGTACATATCAACATATGACAACATTTTAATCATTAAAATAAAATCCAAGTTTCATGATTCTGTTATTTTAATTAACAGTTATCATTTGGATCTATGCAAAAATGTATTTGGAGAAGGTGTGTATCCGGTTGTTGATGCAACAAATCTTTACTATGGGGGCAAAAACATTGCTGGTATGAAGTATCAACTATGAACATTACTATTTACATGTAAATTTCAGGGTTAATTTATTTTTGATGAATTTTCTTGAAATATGTAGGATCAAAAATAGTTTTTACAAATGGGTATCAAGATCCATGGCGACGTGCATCAAAGCAAGTGTCATCTGAAAGCAGTAAGTCTCCAACCCTAATTTGGATTTTTTGTTTCAATCACTTAATTTGTGTCTTTTTATAATTTTATTTGTAGTGCCATCATATATAATTAGTTGTCATAATTGTGGTCATGGAAGTGATTTAAGAGGATGCCCACAGTTTCCTTCACCCCCTGAAGGTTGTTAGTATATCATCTATATTTTTCAACTTCATTTGTCCCATTTGTTTGTAACATTTTATGGATCTGATACTATACATTGAAGGGAGCTCGAAGAAGTGCAGTTCACCTGATGCGGTTGAGAAAGTAAGACATGAGATGATACAACAGATAGATTTATGGCTGGCTGAGTGCCACGTAATTCGTAAGTCTTCAAGTTAGTGGATGTCTTTATAATCATAGCATGTATAAATGATGTTGAATATTTCTAGTTCACGATCTTATTATGACTTATCTGTTTTTGAATTTAAGATGGGTGGATCTCGAAAACATATATTTTAATATTAGTTGCTTTTAAGGTCGTTTCAAAAAAAAAAAAAAAAAAAAAAAAAAGAACGAAACCCTTGCGATCGGTTAGAAGATTAACCAAAATTTGATGTCGTTGGAATTAATTACGATTTTGACTATTCTTGTTGGGTGTTCACAATTGAAAACACTCTGAGTTAGGGGAACAAGTGCATGGCTTAAGTACACAATTTGAGTTTCTTTTTAAAGTTGTGGTGTGTACGTCTTTGCTTGAGATGTATTGGAAATGCTCTAATATAGACGATTCTACGAGAATATTTGATGAAATGCCTGATAAAAAATTTGTTGTTTGGACTTTAATGATCACTAGTTACATACAGAATCAAAAAACCAACATGGAAATGTACATGATTAGAGAATGAAGTTTGATGAGAACATAGTTAGAAAAGTCAGTAGAAGCGTAGAAGAAGATAGATTGAACAACTTGTCAGATGATGTCTTGATTGGACATGAAATTTGTTGTTCAAACGTGTTTGTTGTCATCAAGATGGAAGCTTTTGTCCCGTGTTGGGTTGAGAAATGGAATGAAATTCGTGAATGAGAAGAGTGATAGCAAACGGAGAGGGTGAGAAATGAGAAATGAGAAGTGTTTCCTTGTGAAAATCTAGATTTAAAAAGATATTGTAGTCGTTTAATTGTGCTTAGATTATGTATCATTAATGTTGTAGTTTTCCTTTTCTATTAGTTATATAGTTGAACAATTAAAGAACTTACACTTCGCATTATTCATGATGATTGGGATTAAATGCATTAAGTCTATGGGAAAGAGACCCTTTTGTATTCAATAGTCATAAGTTGACCCCTTTTTTTATTCAAAGTTCCATTCATTTCTCCTATATACCTCCTCTTTTTAGACAAACACTTTATTGTGTCAACAATTAATAAGGAAAAAAAAAACTTATAAATTGATGTTTCAAGAGAAAGACTATTGGTTCAAGAAGCATTAGTACCAACCACCATGAAGTATTAAAAAGAAGAGTAGTAGCCAAGATGTAACCAAGTTTCATTCGGAAGCAAGTTTGGGCAAAAAAAAGCTTCCAACTAAGTGAGATCTAACTCAATCAGTAATTATCAAACATCCCCTAACCACTCCACCATTTTGAGACTTTGCATTACTTGTACATTATTCTTGAATTCTTGTATTATATATATAGTTTCTATGTTTTTAATTAATTAGTGAATTAGTTTTGTATGATTTTTGAATTAGTTTTTATTTTTTTTAAAACTAAAAGCTGTATGTGTTGAAGTAAAATGAATGAGATGTCAAATGAGTTGGAAGTCTCCATCGTAACAATGCATTATGCTCCAACATTTTCATAGCATTTCAACGGTTTCTAAAACCAAAACCAAAACCAAAGAGTTTTAACTTTTAATCATTGTATAGATCGAAGCAAATATGTTGCATAATTTCATCAAACTCATCTTATAGATTGTTTCTTGAAACTACAAGATATAAGAATAAGAATCCATGATTCCATCTCAATATAACATTGCTAGAAGAAGTAAACGCTATCAACAAAAGTAGCATTCTCCAAAGGGCTAAAACACAATAAAAGTAACACACTCGATACTTTCATACCCTTAGGCCTTCTTATTAGTACACATACCCCTTCACAAACATCCCCTTCTTCGCCTCCTCGGACTCACCCTCGCCGGTGTACTTACCGAGCTGAGCCAGCGAGTTAGAACTCGCCCGCTGAAGCAAAGCATCCTGCGCCGCCTTCACATTCTCCGGCCTTCCTCCCCATGTCTTCAAACAAGTGTTCTGAAGGGCACGTGCATACGAGAACGACACGTGCCACGGGTTAGGGCTTTGGTTCATCGCATTCAAGTTCAATGTAGCCTCCACCTCCGATTGCCCTCCCGACAAAAACTGCAATTCATCACATCAATAAGTTATGTTGTAAATCATCATGAATTTTCCCCTAATTTACACTATGTTTAGCGATACTTGCCATGATTCCGGGAACTGCAGGTGGGATTCTTCTTTGGAGAAGCTTGAGGGTATAATCGGCGACCTGTTCAGGTGTGGCCCGTTCTTTGCATTCGGCTCCCGGTGTAACCATGCTTGGTTTCAGAAGAATTCCTTCGAACAACACGTTGTTTGAAGCAAGGTAAAAGAACACCTCCGCCCACACTGCCTGAGCAACCTCGAAGGTCCGATCAATTCCGTGTTCTCCGTCTAGCAAGATCTCCGGCTCAACAATTGGAACCAAACCATTGTCCTACAAACGCACCACATTAAGACCTTATAAACCACACCCATGATCCACCCATGGTGCATTGATTACTAACAGTTTAGTGTCTTACCTGAGAAATAGCAGCATAACGAGCTAGACCCCAAGCTGCTTCCTTGACTGCAAGTGCTGATGGACCATTGGGAATGCTCACAACAGTACGCCTAATCAACAAATCAAATTAGCGTTGACCAAATTAATCCCTATTTTGACCGACAATTCAAACTTACCATTTCGCGAAACGGGCACCCTGTTGGTAGTAAGCAGCCGAGCGAGAGGCAAGCCCGTCAAGACCTTGGCACCATGACTCATCGTTTGACCCGGCCAAAGGAACCAAACCCTGTTACAAAGATTCCATTAGCTAACAAATTTTTGTTAGAGCCTCCGAGGCTATAGACATCTATGGGTTGTATAATATTATACAACCCATTGATGCGTGTTAAAAGTGTAAATATATTTACCTTGTCGGTTTTGATACCGGGAACGATACCTTGTTCCACTAGGACATCGACGATCTTCTTACCATCGACTGTGGATTGGTACAAAGTTTCCTCGAAGAGGATGGCACCGGAGATGTAGTTGCCTAGACCAGGTGCGCTAACCAAGAGGGTTCGGTAAGCCTGGCGGTTAGCCTCGGTGTTCTCTAGACCGATCGAGGCTAACCGTTTTCCGCAAGTAGCGTTGGACTCATCCATGGCCAGGATTCCTCGGCCAGGGGTGGCAATAGTTTTCTACATTAACACGTAAACTCATCAGAAAAAACTAATTATCTACAACTTAAAACCATAAGAATATTATAACAAACATCTAAACATCTCTAAAGCTTTTAAAAATTCTCATCACGGGTCAATAATGGTCCCGAATTGACTAATAGTCGATTTGATTCTCATTCGATAACGACTGACTTTTTTTTTTTTTTTTTGCTGATTTATATCCAATCCAAAGTTCAAAAATCAGTTGTATAAACATAAGAAAGAAACAGCAAAAACACGAACCGCTGTTTTGACGAGTTCATCGGCGTAACTGGCACGAACAGCAAGTGCAGAGGGTGCAGTCGAGTTGAAACGGACCACAGAGACGGGTGACTGGCGAAGGGTCTGACCCTTGACCCATTCGGACTTATCAAGGATGGTTGCTGGAGATGTCTTGAAGAGAGATGCTGAGGCCATGGTTGGTTTCTGTGAGCTCAACTTCTATCCTTTTGATGGAATTAAACACCACTCATTGTGTGTTTGGGTTCACTGGTTTTATACTTCTGTTTGGTGTCACTGGCGATATGCTTTTTGAGGCCAAAATGTGTTTTCCAGTAGAATGTTGCCACGTGGGTTGATAACTTTGCTGACATGGCGTTGGGAATTGAGCAGGAGGTTATGAGATGATATGTGATGAAGGGACGAAATTTGTCCTCGATGGGAGTCCTTATGATTGCCTTTAGTTGAAAAGGATGATTTGGAATGAATTTCACATAAATGGTCCCTGAACTTGCGCTTATGTTACACTGGCTCTTGGTTTTGCACCTTTTTTTGTTTGTTTTCATCTATTCGCTATGTTTTTTTCTAACAACTATTTGTAAAAGGTGAAATACAAGAAATGGAAACTTATTTTTATTGTTTTTTTTTTGTTATAACATCATATTTTAATTATTTCTACTACAATTTTGTATTATGAAGAATCTATTCATTTAATGAAATAACATCCAAATACAAAACAATTTTATACCCTAAAAACAAAAACAAAATTACAATTACAATGTTATAACTATGTAATTTTTAAAGTGCAATGATTAATAAGAAAATATAAAAAATAGTGTCCGACAAAACTATATCAAAAATGGGTTGTTTGAGTTGTATCTATGGATTTGAGAATAGATTATGGACTATGAGTTATCCTTTTAAGAGAAAAAAATTATTAAATAAAAAAAAAAGTAAATTACACGAATGGTTCCTATGGTTTGGGATAATTTGCTTGTTTGATCCCTAATTTATTTTTTTTAACTCGGAAGATCCCTATAGTTTGTTTTTATTACACATTTGATCATTGTCTTAATTTATTTAAATAAGGTAGGTAAAGTAATGTAAAATGAGGTGGAAATGGGATTGGAGATGTATTTATTTAAATAAATTAAAAAATCAATGGCAAAATAGTCTTTTTAGATAAGACAGGGACCAAACGCGCAACAAAAACAAACAGTAGAAACCTTCCGAATTAAAAAAAATAAATTAACGACCAAATGTGCAAATTGCCCCAAACTATAGGGATCGTTCAAGAGTAAATTACACAAATGGTCCCTATGGTTTAGGGTAATTTATGTATTTGGTTCCTAACTTATTTTTTTAACTCAAAAGGTCCCTAATGTTTGTTTTTGTTACGCGTTTGGTCCCTATCTCATCTAAAAAGATTATTTTGCCCTTGATTTTTTAACTTATTTAAATAAACACACCCCCAACCCCCTCACATTACCCTACTTACCATACCATTTTTTCCTATTTAAATAATAGTTTTTTTTAGGTAAGACAGGGACCAAGCGTGAAACAAAAATAAAAAGTAGGGACCAAACGTATAACAAAAACAAACATTAGGGAACTTCCGAGTTAAAAAAATAATTTAGGGACCAAATACACAAATTACCCCAAACCATAGGAACCATTCGTGTAATTTACTCAAAGTATAATTATTAATAAGAAAACTATTGAAAGTTTAATGTTGTTGATTTAGGCTCATGAACTAGTTTTGGTGATTACAACTTAAACGGCTA